CCATCTGGCCCCATAGACTTGTGTATGTTTATATGTAGGCAAGTTGTGTTTCTATAAAAGAAAATCTGTTTTATTTCAGTCTGCTTGTGTACTTACATTGCTCTGTAAATTTATACTTTGCATTGTACTGCACAGTCATCTGTTGGAGAACTTACTTATTTTGGCATGCACTGAAGTGAGGTAAATAACTCGCAACTAAACCCCAAATATATCTTCAGCTTTTTTTTTTTAACATAATGTGTTAACTTGTATAATAAAAGCTTGATTACTTAGGCCCAAAACAATCTGGATGCTTTGGTGATCATTTGGCACTTGATTAGGAATTAAAGGGTGATTGCAATTGAAGTGACAGAAAATAAGTTTTGTGCAGAAAAGGTGTTGGGTTTGTTTTTCCAGTTTTCTTTCTACCTGTGTTATCTACATTAATCTGAGAATTCCATTACTCACTGAATTGTTCTTTTTGATGGATATCACTGATGCTGAATTTGGGAAGCTTTCCTAGTCGCTTCCATAAGCTCACCTTTGGTCTTGTTTTATTTTAATGTGTACTTGATTTACTCAATGAATTGATGATTGATCTGAATGAGGATTGTAAATCAGAAGCGTTGGAGATATCTTCTGAAAATGTGGACATCATTTCAGAAGGAAATAAAAGATTAACTTTTAAACTAAAGTCAAAAGGTAATGAAACTGAGGAATGACAAAAATTCTGTGCTGTGAAAACCTTGCCTCTTGGTCTGTCGAGTAGAGTTGAGGGTATGTTCATCAATGTGGTGATGTCTGTAAGAGTAGAAACTGATCTTTCTGTGGCTTTGTCTTAGTTTTACTACTTGCATAGATGTCTGGTTTATGTTTTCAGACTTACTTCAAGAATTCAGAGGGCCCGTGGAAAGCAGCAATTGATGCATTAAGGCGAAGAAACCAGGAGAACAGTCTAGGGCTCCAGCCACTGTTGCTAGGCACAGCTCAACCTCAGTCACGAAAAAGGGTAGGTTATAGGCCTAAGGAGAGCCTGGAACATGCCAAGCAGCTGTTTTCATTATAAATATTGGCAATTAATGGAAATCAGGCTTTATTTCAGCACTGGGAATGGTGGAGTAGCTATATAGACATGCAGCATTCCCGTTATAATGAAAGCATGGATGCTTTTTTTTTTTTGCAAAACAAGATCTTTTTCGGAGCACTGGTTACAAGTGCACTTGATTGCACTGGAAACAGAGCTATTCATGTTGTTTTTTTTTTCTACAGAAATGGAATGCCCAGTTGGTTATACCTGCAAGCAGTACAAACAGAAATAGTTTAGAAAAGAACAAGGAAAAGGGCTGTGTTGATTTGTACAGTACAAGTGTGTCTTTTCCAGTGGAGCAGCTGCAGACCTTTCCTCAGCTCCTACAAAATATCCACCGTCTAGAGGTGAGTTTCAGGAAGGTCTTGGGAAGATCATTGAACATTTTGAGAGATCAAATGATATTCCTGTATGCCCTGTTTATATGTGAATAGCGTATGGGCAACCTAGTTCTGACAGAGCATCTAGTCCTGCCCCAGGGTGATGAATGAGTCCTGGAAGTGGTCTTGCTGCTGGCAAAAGGATTGCACAACTCTGACAGAATGAGATTCTCAATACTAATGAGATTCTAAATACTGAATAGCTCTTTTTTTCCTTGATTTCTTTTGCAGTTTCCCTCCCAGATGGGTTCAGTGTTAACAAACCCTTTATTGCTTCACTATATGAATTGCATGAAAGATGAATCTGTTTACCTGAGGCTCTACTATTGGATGAGCCAGACTCTTCAGGAAGGTAGGATGTTAGTATTACCTTGCCTGGTAGGGAGGTAAACAATAGTCTCAGGCTTTTCATCTTTCAATAATGGTACTTTGCTAGTCAGATTCATAATGATAATCATGTAGCATTAGAACAACTACTGGAGGAAGACTGGATTTTGTTTCTAATTGTGCTTATTCTTGCTGTGCTCATACTCAAATACAGTATTCTTTCCTGTTTAGAGTGCACCTGGTGTGTGGCTGATAATAGCCAATGCGAAGAGGAATTCAAGGACTTCCTGGAAACTGTCTACAAGGCAGAGTGTTTCTTGCAGGTAAGTGCCTGTTTTGTGGAGGCCAAGCGACTCAGTCTTCCCTTGAAGTACTTTTGGAACTTACTTGTTTCCTGTAGTATCTCTGAGTAGTGACAGTGTCTCAAGTAAGAAAAACAGGTATTCCTATAGTGAGTCAATATTCTGGAGATGACCTGTTTTCTGCAGGAAAGATAATTTGAGAATGCTGTTGAGAATGATGATTTGAATGTCCTGGTGAATTGTATGGCAGGAAGAAGGTGTAAGCCTCTTTCTCCAGGGTAAAGTGAGCATGGCAAGGTGCAGGCGTATGAGACTATGTTCATCTTCTTTGTAGGAGGGATTTTCTTCTTGTGAAGAGTTCCTGTATAAAAGCCTTCCTCTCTGGGATGGCCAGTCCTGCCGATCACAAGTCCTCAAACTTGTGAGTTGGATCTCCCTCAGGAGCTTCTCTGGTACGTGTTGGGAGATCCTTTGGGTGAGGCTGAACAGTGTCTGATCTTGCAGGATAGAAATTGTGCACAGATATCATACTTTTTTCTCATTTGTTTCAGAAATGAAGTCACAACTCTGTGATCCCCTGGCACAGCTCTTCTTCACATCATCCATTTACTTTAAGGTAATTTAAGTGAGTACAGTGGCTGTTTACTTTTAGTTGATATTGCCATCTGCACTTGTGTCAGGTGTATCAGTCTGAGGGATTGTACAGGAGACTGTGCCCAAATGAGGGTAAAATATATACTTACAATATAACTTCTTTGGGAATTTGAGTGCCTTTAAGATAATTTCTTTTTTGACTGGATTTAAACAGAGGCACTGTAATTAAAAAAACTGATAGTACACAAGACAATAGTTTGTTTCATTTTATGTAACACATACATTCAGTTCAAGGGGACATGCAATTATCTCACTGCTCTTTGTGGTCCTGAGAAACTCTTGATATATTTCCTTGTGTATGTCAATTCTCATGGCATTTTTTTGTTTAGTAGTATTCACAGTTGTCTTTTCTCCCAGGTGATGGAGGACAGAACAAGGGGTAACGGCACCAAGCTGTGCCAAGGGAGGTTCAGGTTAGAGATAAGGAGGAAGTTCTTTACTGAGAGGGTCGTCAGAAGCTGGAACAGGCTGCCCAGGGAGGTGGTGGAGTCACCATCCCTGGATGGATTTAAAGAGCGGGTGGATGAGGTACTTAAGGATATGGTTTAGGGGGTAGACAGGAACGGTTGGACATGATGATCTCAGAGGTCTTTTCCAACCGAGCGATTCTGTGATTCTGTGACTTAAGTAACTTGTCATAAACCTGTTTTCTTTTTGCCTCTTGCAGTGCAGTGTTCTTGAGAGCCTGAAAGAGCTGCTGCAGAACTCGTTAATTTGGCACATGGTTCATCTGGATTCAGAGGCTGACTCTCAAGCCCATTCTTTGTAAGTCTGTCTGAAATAAATGCAATACAGTGTTCTGTGCATTATTCAGTAGTGCATTTAGATACACACTCTAGCCCTATTACCTAGCATAAAGATTGACTAGGACGTTAATAATGCTGCAATGTTTCTGCTATATCGTAACCTACCCTGTCAATCCTGTTCTTTATCTTTCGTTAAAAGTATTTCTATTGACACTGAAAATTGAAATGTCCAGAAGTCAAAATCTCTGTAACACTGACAACTGGGTCATGTTTGTAATAACAGTAACAATCTGCTACTGGATATATTGAAGAACAAATGCATGTTTGCTGAATGTTTGGTGGGGCAGAAGGATAAACTTTCATTTCTTTTTTGCCACTTTTCCTTTTTACCATTTGCAAAGAGGTGTATATATACCAATGTCCTGTCATGTCATTGCTGCAGAAACACCACCCTTTCTGGCCTAGTGAACGTGGTGGCTGAACTGATCCGCTTTGTTGGATGGATCTCCACTGTTGCATTGCGTTTGGAAAAAAATTCTACTTTCTTGCTGTACTTCATTCTGGATTTCTATGAGACCGTATGTATCCCATTCACTTTGGCTTTTTTTAAGGCTTTAAGGCTGTTTGCATGTTTTAAGCTAGAGCATTAAAGTGTCTTCACAATTTACAGAACTTTGTGCTTACATGCTGGAATGTTTCAAGTACTTGGTAGATCTACAGACTACAGCTGCTGCTGTTGTATCCATGGGCAGAACTAAATGAGCTGCTAGAAAGTGTTTGCTCTTAAGTCAAGAGGTGAACTGTGGAAGGGGAAGTAATAATGTGGCATAACATGCTTTTTTAATGCTAATTTATAGAAAAGAACCATGTTCAGATCAATTTCCTTAAATGTTCCTTTAAAAATGAAGGTCTTTCCTCTCCTTGTCCTGGGGACAAACTAAGCAGCAAATAGTTTTAAGACTATACTCCAGCTTCCTCACATCCTCTGTAGATGTGCTTACTGCCATGCAAACTGCAGTCATGCTGTTGTTGCTGCTACAATATGGATAAAACTGTGAAGAGTTGAGAAAACAATGATACTTCTGGGATCTACTTGTAACTAAAATGTCCATTAAAATGCACAAAACTAATGGCCAATGACGTTTGCCTAAGACTTGAAAAAAAGTAAATGCTCATTATATGGGAATATACAGAGAATCATACACCCTTTGATATATGATTATTGATGCTCTAGCAGACAACTAGGATTTGAAACTTTTCTTGACGTTTTACTTACGTATTTAGAACTCTAGAGATGTCTAAAATCATGCAGCTGAGATATTAAGTAAAGAGTCTAAATTTCTGAAAATACCAGTAATTCAATGTCCTGGTTTACTGGGACAGAAGGACTACAACACTATTTCATGGGAGCAAAGTGATAAGACTTTGTTAGAGGTTTCAGCTACAGGTTGGTATGTGATGCTCAAGGTCCTCAGTAGTCTTGAGATAAACAGATGCAGAGGCTGGGGGAAGTGGAAACCCAGGTGAGTTGACCCCAAACTGCCCCCAGGCTGACCAATTAATACTATTCCATACCATATATGTCACATTCACTATAAACTGGGGAGTTTGCTGAGGACAGCCCTCTTCTTCCTCATTCTTCTCTTTTCCATGGCTGACATCTCGAGAGGGACTTGTTTACCATCCGACCCCTGAGGCCTACTGTCCCACAGTGTTGGCTGAGTATAACTGTGTATTTTATAACTGAAGTTGATGGAGCTGGCTGGAATGCAGTGTCATGCTCTCTTCTGCTCTCAGACACTTTGGGATTTGTTAATGGCAGTAATAATCTGCCAGGATTTGCTTCATTCCTGCAGGTGTGCGACATGTATCTGAAGTACAATCTGCCTTTGTTGATAATGCCTCCTGCTGGAGTTTTCTACCCAGCACTTCTCAGCATGGATTCTGTCACCTTGAATCAGCTCTGCTACATTATGTACAGGTACCGCAAATGGTGTGGGCTGCAGGGACTCCTTGTCTTCTCTTTCAATCTTTTGGAAGTGAAATTACTTTGGTGTAAAATCTGAGATCTACTTTTTGGTACCATGCAAGGCAAAGGTGAAAGTTCCAGCTGTGCCCAGCTTTCATGATGCAGGGTTTTATAGCTGTAGTTCCTGCTCTTTTTTTCGGACTGTTATCCAAAACAGCAGGATTCTGACCCCTTTCCTAGTATTATTTCCATAGCTTTGATATGAGAAGGAAGGAGTTCCCATATTTTTCTGAGAGAATGTAAGTCAGCCAGCTGGAAGCACCAGTAGTTAATTATACAACTTCTCACTCCTGTGCTTTGACCACTAGACCTGAGCTTCTCCTTACAAATATTGTAATGTGCCGAGTAGGAAGCAATTCTGCCACCTCCAAACTCTGTGGAAATTTGGGACTGCCTTGTGCTGCCTGCAGGTCCAAAGTCAGCACTGTTCAGCTCTGCAGGATCCACCAACAGGGCTGCTGTTCTTGGCCTTGTTAGTTCCAGTGGTTGCCTCTGAGAAGAAGAGTAGCCAATTGCTCACAGCTGGCACAAGGATCTCCATGTGGCTTTTTCTCTAAGGAGTCTGCAGGGGAATTAACATGACAGAATGGTCTCTGGGAAATGAGAGGAGCCAGTGCTTATTATATAGAACAACTGTCAAGTTGCATTACTTCCGGTGGCTTCTGTTTCTCTGCTTAGTGAATGAGTCTCCCTTCTTAAAAATACACTGCATTTTTCTGTTGATTTTAAGGCTATATATAAATTCTTGTGTGTTGCCTTTATGAAAGTGACTGTCCCAGGCAAACCGATTGTGTCTTAATCATTTAAGAAATTAATATTACGGTGTTTCTCCCCACTCTGCCTGAGCAGGGTGGGTCTATGCCAAGTGATAAAGTCCCTTTGAATTCTTTTTCACATGTCTCTTTTTTTACCAGTAAAGTGTAATGATCTCTCTTGTGAAGGAAATAAGCTTTCTTAATACATTTCTCCAGCTTTTTTCAATGCTGGTAGACAATAAAAATTTACAGGTATCTAATGTTCTCTTTTGTGGTTTTTTTTTGTTTGTTTTTTTTTCAGGTATCGAACCAACTTGGTGGCTGCAAAAGAAAATGAGCGGAGTAAAAAGGTATTGCGGACAAATCTGCTATGTGCTAGAACAGACCTTAGCAAGGAGTTGGGTTGAACAGGGGGGAGGTGTTCTCATGACATTCTTTTAAGGACTGGAGGGAACACAAAACTGCTTCGAGGATGCAATTCGTTGATTTGTTTTCTTGTCCTTCAGAAAATACTGCAATTCAAGTTCAGTAGCCAGACATACCAAGAGTACAACCAGTACATAATAGCCATGGTGGGTTGTCTGTGGACTTCCAGTGCATTCCAGAAGGATAATCATCCTCAAGGTCTTGGTATGGATGATGAACTGCTGAAGAAAACTGGAGTGCAGGAATACAAAACCAGCTTTAACATTGTCTACCACCCAGCCATGATGGGCTACGCTCTTTGCTTTCTGCAGCAGGTAATGGTGTAGGCCAGCATTTTAACCTTTGGCAGCACCAGATGTGTTCTGTCTTGACAGTTTCTCTGGAGAAGTGTGTCTGTACTGGCTGACTTGTAGAGTCAACTGAGCTTTCAAAACCTGATATGACGTTCTGTGTTTGTGTTGGATCAGTGGTACAACTTGAATAGTCTTTGTTTACATGGTATGAAAGCATCACTGTAGCAGCTTTAGATGTGAATTTGTGATTATGATAGTTTTGTGGACAGAACTAAAATAGGTAAGTAGTGAAATAAGTGACTCATTCAACAAAAGCATCCCAATAGTGCATTCTGCCCCACAAAACACAGAACGTGACCTAAACATGTAAACTCCAGAAGGTCAAGAAATACATAGTTAAATTGTATACAGGTGTGCGTGGTAGACCTTTCAGTAGTGTTTTTTGGCTCTTGCAGTAGGTTTTGAGAACAGCTTATTAAAGAAGAAATACAAGTAGCTACTTCAAATACAGAAGTAAGCTAATATGGGGCTGTTTTGTGTTGTCTGGTACGAGTTCTGCCAGTAGTCGTCTCAGATTCCAGGTGCCGTCGTGTTCAGTGCAGCTAGTGGAGGGAGCAGCTTGCCAGAGTTGCTATCATTCCAAGATGTGCATGCTGCTCTGGGAAATCAGGTTTTGTAAGGGGTGCACGAAGATGTGGTTTTGTTGTGAGGAATGTGTTCCAGCTGTGGCTCCTGGAATGAAGTGAGGGAAACTTGAGGTTGAAGTTGAAGCAGAGAAGCTGGTTAGGAACACTTCACAGATTTGCCTTGGTTTATATAATCAGTGTCCTTTGTCTCTTACCACTGATTAAACCCAAGTGTTGTCTTTGCCAGCAGAGGCTATTTTATTTTTGTTATATATAACTTCTTTTCCTTGGTCTCTATCCTGTGGTAGCAGGATTAGTTTTTCATATCTTTTTTCTAGATCCTTTCTGTTCTGAGGCTTCCCGATTCCTCTTTGTAGCTTTTGTAAGCAAAAACCAACCAAACAAAAAAACACCACAAAAAACCAACCCAGAACCTTCTGGTAGAGATTTTATGCATTTTTCCTACTGTAGAACCAAGAAAGATTTTGTGCTTAACAGCTATCTAATTAACAGCTATCACAGACGTATCTTAAGACAGGAAAAAACATTTGGCTGCTGTGCCCTCTTCTCTGAAACACTTCAGCGCTGAGCACCAGAGGGCACTGCTCTGCAGCTCAGCCAGAGAACACAAGCAGTAATCCAAATGTCCATAGGTTGTCTCCTCTTGCTCTTTCTCGTTGTTGGGAATTACCTATCTAATGTTTTGAAGGGGCATCTTTTACACTGTCGAGACAATGGTTAAAGATACCTATGAATATTCTCTGTTGCTATCCAGTCATACTGCAGCACAAGACAAGAGTCTCCACATCACCTTGCCACGTGTGGACACTGTTGTTGAAAGCCCATTCTGAAGCATGATTAAAAATATCTGAATTTTTTTACACACCTGCAATTCCTGATTTAGGAAGGGGACTAAGCAGAGGCCTAGCAACTCTGGACATACTTTTTATCTGACTTGGTACTATTTTTATTCTCTCTCCTTAAGGCTTGGCCAGATGATACCACCTTCAACTTCAGTTTAATTAAGGTAAGATTTCATGTTTTAGTGAAGTGAAAACGGGCACTTTTCAGCAGCTATGTAGAAGGGGATGAGGTGATAATATTGACTAATTCCACAAGTGCTTTACAAGAATTTTGAAAGAAAATTCCAGCTGTAGACTTTGGCTCCTTTGATTTGTCTTAACAGGGCCAAACACAAGGACATCAACATCTGAGACTTTATGTATCTAGCCATCTGTGGGTAGTGGTCTGAGATTTGTATGTATTTCCTCCGCGAGTCAGTGCAGTATCAGGACAAGGCTGTTTGTTATTGTTCTCTGCGAGCTCCAGAAAAAGTTATATTAATTTCTATTATCAGTGAACTTAATGTTAAATTTCTGAGGTGGATGTGTAGCTTTGTTATAGCTTTGAACAGGGATCCTCCACTGAGCAAGTACAGTGGCAGTTGGTTTCCTTCCCTACAGCGTACTTCAAACCTGGTGTGGAGGAATCACTGTTAGTGATGGAAGGAAGGCTCTAATGCCCATGTTCATTTGGCTTCTGACATCTTCACTGTTGATCCAGTAGACTTTGCTCTTTTTAGATTTATAAACATCTTCAGTATTAAAAAAGATCAGTATTTGTCATGTTTTAAGCTAAGAATGTGTAATACATAAGTGAAAAGTTCGGGCATTTGGGAACAGGATGTGACCCTGTACACCTGTGGGTATTCACAGACTAGGATGGATGTTGTCAAACTGTGGTAGATATTTGCAGACATTTTCACAGTGGCCTAAGAAAGACACAAAGTTATGTCCTGTATAGCTGACTATACTTTCTGTTTTTATAGGGAAGGAACTGGTATCTGGAGTATCTCTATGCGCAAGGTTTAGAGGGCTTGAAGGTCTTCATTGAAAGCAGCATTAATCGTGTTTCGCAGGCCTCTCACAGTAAAGCTGGGAATGTGCAAGGGTGACCCTGGGAGTCACTGGAGCCTTTTTACCATCTGGAACAGGAAAGCAGAATATAATGGACTATGTCACTAATTCTTCCTTCCTCAGAGGAAAGAAATGGAGCAATTACCCTTGTCTGCATTTTTGTGCTGACGTCTATTTTAGGAAAGTGAAGACACGGAAGGAATGCTTCAGCTGGCTTGGTTCACTAACACTGAATTCCCTCTTGTCCCCGCTGAACTTCTCTGGTGTGAAGCTGCTGAGCATGTGTTATGTGTCATCCCCATTTTCCTCTGTTGGAGTATCTACTTCGATTGAGAAACAAACATTTTCCACCTCGAAACTGCGCTGAGCAGTGCTGCTTCATTTATAAGTAATGCTGATCCCTGACCTGCTTTGCCTTCGACAGTAGGTAATGAGAAACAACTTACTCAGCCTTTCAAGGATACTGTGTATGGACTGGATTGGAGCACTACATGTTTCCCAGTTCTCTATATACTGGCTTTTAACAGGCTGACCAAACTGAACTTCCTGAACTTCATTTTCATTCGGAAGCTTTGAAAACAGACTTTTTGCTAACGTTGTTTATAATGCTCTTTTAATGCAGCTGGGAAATGTGGTACTCAGTTGATGGTTTATTGATGATTTGAGCACTTGAACGATGTTGCCACCAGCTCACCATTTTTTATTAAGTGCAAATGTAGTTTTCCTTTTTGTGTCCTTAACTCTGTGTTGTATATTGTGTGTGTACGTATGTAAATTTTATATTCTGTGAAGTGTTTCCAACATGCCATTTTGAAGGAACTCTGCTACAAAATTTATCTTCTCATGTCGCTTCATTTTAACACTGAAGTTGGGAGAAGCTGAACTCAGGTCTCTAAAATTTGGGTGAACTTTATTTCACTGCTGTAAAAGGCAGTTGTAACCACTTGGAAGATGGGTCAGAATATACTGAATTTTGCATTATGAATCTGTACTTTGATCCAGTAAAGGAATCAGTCCTGAGAGTGACTCCAGAGTCACTAAGGATGTGTTTGGGTTTCTTCATCCTCTCAAAATGGTTCTAGGTCGAGTACCATACTTCTCAGCTCAAATAGTTGATCTGGTTAATATGCAGATGTATATTTATATGTATCTGTATTTATATGTGTGTATGTATTCTCTCCAGAGCATAAGATAGTAGACTTTGAAGGAGGGAGATTTCCAGAGAGATCTGCTTAGACTAAGGTTTTTCCCTTTCTTCTCCGGCTGTGTTATTGCAGCTAGTGTGAGTGCTGCTTGCTGATTTCTGTCAAGAGAAACAGATCTTCAAAAATCCAGATCCGATTTTCTCAGCAAGGTAAACACAAATCACAAGTTCCTCCAAGTGGATATGTTTCAAGATGTGGCCCTAACATATAGCCAGTTATATCTTGTACATATATATATACACACACACACGTGTATGTGTGTGTGTGTGTGCGTGTGCGTGTATACCTCCTTTAAAGGCTGATACTGCTGGTCTGGACCAGCTCGGCTCATTGGCTGAGGACTATTCCAACACCACTGGCTGGCAATCCCTACCAGAGTGTGGCCTGTTGTTTGTTAGACTCCTTAAAGGCTTCAGCGAAGAACCCAAGGAGGAGAGCTCTGTAACTCCACAGTTTTTTATAAGTTTTCTATGAAGCTACCTTTAGAAAGGTATTGGAAATGCTGGCACTTATGCTGAAAAGCCTGTGCACTGCATTCCTTAAGGACAATTTAATCCTTAGCTTTTGTCCTTACGCCATGCAGTTGTCTTCAGATGTTGACCAGACTTGTATGTCCACGTTGCTGCACTGGGATTGTGTACAGAAACAGGGCTGGAAGGATTCACAGCCCTAGGAATGTTGCTGCACTGCGATTGTGTACACGAACAGGGCTGGAAGGATTCACAGCCCTAGGAAAACATGAGGTGGAGACATGGGCCCAGTTATAGATCTGTTTATGGCAGGCTCATTCAGTGGCAGCAAATACAGAACATCTAGAGAAGTATTTACATATAGCCAGGAAGGCAGACTTGATGTTACCTGCTGCTGTCTGGAGTTTAGTAGAAGGAGCAGAGTAGTGCAGTGAGCCTGCCAGACTGGAAGGTGCTGCCAGAGGCTTCCTTTTGAGTATAGCCAGGAAGGCAGACTTGATGTTACCTGCTGCTGTTTGGAGTTTAGAAGGAGCAGAGTAGTGCAGTGCTCCTGCCAGACTGGAAGGTGCTGCCAGAGGCTTCATTTCGATTGTGAAAGGTGCCCACATTCTTAGAAGCATGTGTGATGCTTGTGAAGAGGCTTACAGCAGAATCCTTTAGGACATACTGAATGTTGTAGAGTCGTTGGTCCCTGACATCAGTTTTTCCCTTGGTTGAGAAAACAGAGAATTGTGTTGTAGAAGACTTGTTGCAGCATCACAGGTCTTCTGTTATACCCTCTGTTACGGAGGTCTTTAAACAAAGTGTGTACAACTTTGTCATTGGAGTTCACAAGCTGAATGCTCAGAAATAAAGTAACAAGACAGGTAACTTTGTTTTATTGTCAGCTTTCTTGGTCGAGATGGCTGTTTAAAATCCTTTCCATGCAGCAATGATGTGCCTGGTGTTACTGGGCATCGGAGATGACTTTTAGCCTCTTTGTGTGCCTTGGTAGCTCTTGTCGTCTTTCACATCTGGACAATTTTTCCTCTTTTTCTCTAAATATTTGACTTTACTGACGTTCTACTTGAATGGAAGAATGATCCCTTAGGAAGGAATGTGCTGCTGTACCTCTTGCTCTTGTTTTGGTCTCCAGTACTAGCTCTTGACCCTGTAATCACCATGGTAAATTTTGTAGACCATTTTCTGTTAAAAGCATACGCTCAAAGACTTGGCTGAGTACAGCATCTGCTCTGAGGGCTGAAATGGAGGTGGTCAAGACCCATCCATTTCCTGGTCAATGACAAATCTGTGACTTACCTCTGTACCCATTTCTGCCTGTTATAAGGCACTACTTGTATGTATACGCTATGAAGCTAACAGAAACAACTGTGATGTGGTACTGCTTGATAGGAAAAGTGCAGGATGAAAATTTCCATTAAGACTCAGTCGTGTTTTCAAAGAGGACCCTGGAATATTTAAGTTTAGGTCAGACCTGCAACCTCCCTTCAAGGGAATTATGTTCAACACGACTCACTAGAAAGGGTGTGCATGATTTGAAGTCACTTGTATCTGCTCTTGACTGTGTTTTTTCTCTCTAGAGGATGCTTTTTCAAGGTCCAAATTCCTACCATCAGCTGATCTCAAGGATTGCTAGTTTGTGTCCTGGCTCCTCCTGGGTACAAGTTGATGCCTTGCTCCAATTTCTGTCTGGCCTTGCTTCTCAGGAGGCTTCTACACGCTTTGGATTTAGGGGTTTTGTAATATTACAAGCAGGCCAGGGCAGTGGTCACTTCAGCTTAACCCCATCTGCAGCTTTTCTCGTAGCCTGTTTAATGCTTCCCTAAAGCAGGGCCTTTCCCTTTAGAGAAAACATCTCTGAGTGGGTATTAGGCAGGATTTCCAAGTAGAGGCCAGAATTCTGTCTGGGGTGAGCAGGCACTGCTCCACTAATTTCTAATGGATCTGTGCTGAGTTGCAGCAGCTGAACATCTGGTCCACAGCTCACAGAACCAAAGCCATTAACCCCTCCCCTGTCAGACACAGCAGGAGCACTGTGCATCTGAAAATGCAAGTGCCCTGGGCTAGAATTATTTTTCTAAAGCCATGTTTGCCTTGTGTTTCTGTTAATCGTGCCTTTGTGAGGAGAGACTCATTTGAGCATTTCTATGCATCAGGCTGTGTTGCCCTTTCAGAGAGAGCTTGCTCTGAGAGAGTTAATAATTTCAACCTGTTTTCAGCTGGAATGAAGAAACTGGCTCCTCTGTGTCCCTGCTTTCTATTCTCTTGTTGGCCTACTTCCCTCTGCTTGCATTTTGCATTCCTAATGCCATGAATAAATCAGGACCCAGGGATTTAGAAGGTGGTATAGCTGTAGCCACTCAGAAAATTGAACCTCTGAGGCTTGGACTGCAGCTCGAACGACTGCCAATCCGTGTGCTCCTGAACTCTTCTAATAACATTTAACTGGTACCAAAATAAAATTCACTTTGCCCTTTTTACATAATGTTTGGTTTTTGTGCTTCTACCTAGCACCTCCTTACTTGGAGGTGCTTTGTCTTTCAGTGAAGGCTCAGAAGCCTTTTAGGGCAGCCCAATTGCCTCATGGCTGCTGTGACAAAATGACTTATTCAAAATACACAAAGGAGAAAAGAATAAGGGCGACTGAGGGCTCTGCCTTGGTTCAGGGTCCATCTGTGGTTGTACATCCTCTGATAACTTGTCACTAACAACACGCGCTGGACTGCTGGACTTGTAGTGCTGTGGCTGCTGAGTGTGTGAGGCAGCTCTTGATGTGCTCTTTGGTCAGAGGGTACCTCCAGTCCAGGTGAAGGACAGCAGGCACTGGTAAAGCTTGCTCTGGAGGATGAATATCTTGAAAGAACAGAGTCTCCAAGTCTTTCCTTCCAGGCAAGAGGGTTTATGTTGTACCTCTGGCTTTCCCTGCTTTTTAGAATAGAAATAATGGTTTAGGTCTGATGATGGTTTGATTTCACCAAACTTTGCTTTTGACAAAGAAGGTCTTTTATGACCTTCCTAGCGTATGGTGACGTGGTTTTCAGTCCAGGATTCTTGAGACCTGCATTTAGCTGTTACACCTGCCCGAGTAACTCCCAAGTAATTCTAGTTGGCAAGGGAGGTATTGAAGTACATAAATAATGTTCATTAAAGTGCATATCTTGTGATGCTGCTGCATTTCTCTGCTTCTCGGCTTCCTGTCCTGTAGGAGTAAAAAGTCTGCGTAGCAGAAGGTAAGATTGTTTAAAAATGCCTTAATTATTTTGGCATCCAGTTTCTATTTTCAGGCTCACTACAGTCTTGCACAAGCGTAGAAACTGAAACAGTTGGTCTTCATAAAAAGCTGCAGATACCTTCCACAGGCCC